ATCAGACATAAATGATCAACAACATTCAATAAAAAAATATTTGGAATAGAAATATTGTCTAAACAAAGGAGTGAGTCAACCAATAATATTTGTCATGTCATTGCAAATCCCACTAGTTCTCTCATTGATTGTTTCATTGGTCTAAAAAATATAATAAAATCATGGCATCGAAATGAGAAAGACAAAGATTTAAAAAGTGGTCAATCAGTCACTACGCCCCTGGTTAAAGGCAACCCAATCTTGAGGCAAGTTGCTACATTTTATTTGGGAAAGCTTTACTCAAAGTTCCAACAAGAGCTATTGGATGGGCTATGTGGACTTGCAGCTAAATGCTTTCCAGATAGTGACTCAGAATATTATGTAAGGAATTTGGATACTCAAGGGACAAACAAGTACTGGATTGTGAAACTTGACAAAGTCAATTCTGAGGTCACATGCAGTTGCAAAAAGTTTACAATGATAGGTATATTATGTTCTCACTCTCTTTATGTGCTTAATGCGGCTCAAATAAAGCAAATTTCCAAAAAAAATATTTGTTAATATGATGGTCTGCTCAGGCTAAAAGGAACATGCATAATAATTTTGGTTACGAAGATATGAATGAATCCCAGACAAACACTGGTTCTCCAAATGGTATACTATTTTGCTCACACGCCCACAAGTTTGCATACCAACTCATTAATAAAGGAAAGGAAAATGAAACAACCGAGCAGATTTTGTGGGAATCATTTAAACATCTATCTGGAGATCTTGATGACGCACTAGCTGGAAAACCAGCTTAAACAAAGAATAAAACAAAAAAGAGAAAACACCAAATACCTTATTCGATTTGAATAACCCATCAAAGATGAAGCTGAAATGAGTTTCAACATCTAGGTTGAAAGCATATTGGGAGAAAAATAAGAGACCAAAAAGTAAATATTTCATTAAGCTGCGTTATTTTAATCTATGCATTAATGATTTTCTCTAACCTAAACCACCGAATGTAGGAAAAGAGCAAGAAGCATCAACAAGCCAATATCCATATATTCATTGTGATTCAAATTTAATTGAAATGCTAGATTTTTTCTGTCAGATAATTTAGTGGCATTAGCATTTGATTTTTATTCCACTTCTAGTTTCTCCATTATTGCAGGAATATGATGCATCTCAACCAACACAAGGATATACAAGATTGTCGATGGATTCAATAAGTGATCTATATTTATAATATTATTTTGTTAATGTAATTCAACAACAGTTCTGAAATTTTCATATGATTCGTTAATTTCGATGATAGTTTAATGTAATCATTTTATGAAATATTTCGATGATTCATTTAATTCAATGACTTATTGGTATTTAACTGTTTAAATAAATGTTTCTTTTAATGCTTCAGTGCTATGACTGGTAATTTAATGTTTCTTTTTGAATACCACCTATTTAACACCTATATTCATCTCAATAACACCTCAAAATACTACAATAACACAACAAACGAAAAAAAAACACTTATAAATACCTATAAAATAATGAAATGTATATATTATTAATTAAATATATTAGCTAAATAAGATTTATGAAATTAAAAACTAAATAACACATATATAACACGTCTATTCTTACTAAATTGAGGATAACATAATTTTATAGGACGTTACAGCTGTCCAGAAACGATCTAAGCGCGTTATACCGCCGCCTTATAATATAGGAGAATATTTCATGTGTGTTATAACGCCACTCCATATAAATCCACTACCATGCGCTATAACACATGGGGAATATTCCCCATGTGTTATACCGCTGCCCTATAAGACCACCACCCTAAGATATAACACATGGGGAATATTCTCCATTAGTTTTAACACAGTCCCACGTTATAACACATGGGGAATATTCCCCATGTGTTTGACCACCGCCCTATAACACCACTACACACAATATTATAACATAGGCCTGTGTTATAATGTAGCCTTTGTTATACCGTAAGCCGCTCTATAACACCACAACACACTGTATTATAATGCATGCTTATGTTATAACGCAATATTGACGTGTTATTTATCAAAATTAATGTGTTATAGTTTAATTTAAATGCGTTATTTTTAAAATCATCGTGTTATATGACTATATTAAAGCGTTATTTTAAAAATACAAGTGCTATAACAAATTATTGACACATTATTTAGCAAAATTCAAGTGTTATGCCGCTATATTGATGCATTATTTATAAAAGTTCAAGTGTTATATGCAATATTAATGCGTCATTTTTAAATTTATCGTGTTATATGACATTATAACCTGATATTTTCAAAATAAGTGTTATACCGGAATATAGTTATTTCTTATTTCTTAATATTGTAATTAAAATAGTTACTTCTTAACATAGTAAATCGTATATTAAAATAGTTATAAAGTTGATAACATACAATACATTTTCAAAATACATTTTTGCATTCGAAAGAGACAATAAAGAGCATAAAGCAATCTATACATGGTATTCTCTGATAGCGCAAATATTAATTTACTACAAAATTACCAAAATAGACAACTAAAACACAATTTAGAACATGTATATAAGCACATTTTTAATCAGTTTTTTTTCTTGGACCACATACATAAGGCGTAAGCAAATTTAGTTCTATATCTTTCCATGTCTTCCTGTCAGTTTAGATACGAGGTCCAATTAGTCTCTTGTGCTTGTGCCAACACCAAAGTTTCCATGGTCAGGATTGGACAACAAGTGGACTCATCCTCCTTCAAGTCGATGAAGGTGTCATTAACCTACATTAAAAATCACAATATTTTACCTAGTTTTAGTAAAGCAACATAGAAATAAAACTTACCAAATAAAATCTTATAACAAATAAATTTACTTACATGCACATGCTCGAGCACCCTAACGGCTTCTTGAATCTGTCGTGCTGTCCACCATGAATTTTTGTCCACCTCAACATGCGTGGTCTAGCCTCAAATGCAGCAGAAGTAAGCAGAGTTGTGTGCTAAAAAAACCAAAGCTGCAGATGACACATCAAAAACCAATTTGTTAGAAGGAAAGAAAAAACAAAAATAATAAGTAAAAAGGAAAATTTTAAATGTGGATAATATGAACTTACATATAAAAGAAATACAAAATCATTTATGTAACCAAGTGACTGATTCCACCTTATTTTGATTGCAGCAAAATTCATTTGATCAATCATATAATCACAGATGACAACAGACCAGTTAAACGAAGAGAAGGTCTGTACATTCTCCCCCACTGCATAATGCCCTACGGGCACACTGAAATTGCTTGAGGGAAAGAATAAATTTGTTAGTAAGAACTTACGAAATAGTTTCTCAAAAGGAGTGGAAGACTCCTGAAAACTTTCTCACATCTTTTTTTTTATTGCTCTCGCATCTATACGAGATGAGGGTGTTTTCCTACAACTAACTGATTCACCTCAGTTGGGCATGCCTAACAACAGCGAAACATGGTCGACGTAGAGTTTTACCAACTTCCCACCCATCACAAAAGTTCTTCTTTCATTATTCCAAAATCCCATGATATGTAGAGTCAACACATTATCTTAGGGATAATGAGGCATGTCAAAAAACTAACTGATATTTATTTCTCTTAAAAAATTCATGGTCTCCTCTAGTATAATTGTCTAAACAGTATTGAGTGCTCCTCTTACTGCGGAAGAATGACATCTACAATCGAACGTTCTTGCATTCATATACCTACAACAACAAACATAAGGAAGGAAATATTATTTTATAAATAACATTCCTCATTCACACATTTTGTTCAGTTATTGTTGTGTTACAAATAAGTTATTATTGTGTTACAAATGAGTTATTGTCGTGTTTGTCGTGTTACATATGTGTTATTATCGTATATATGTTATTGTTGTGCTATAGATGAGATATTGTGTATTATTGTTATATTATAGTTGTGTAACTGTTATCTTATACGCTGTTATTATTGTGTAATCGTAGTGTTATAATGTGTTATGATTGTGTTATCATTGCGTTCTTGTTGCGTTATTATTGTGTTATCGTGTGTTATGATAGTGCCATCATTGTGTTATGATTGTGCTACAATTACAACAACATAACACAACAAGAACACACAATAACACATCTATAACACATCTATAACACAATTATATAAACATAACACAACAATAAGACACAATAACACATATATAATACATCCATAACACAATTATAATAACATAACACAACAATAACACACAATAACAAATTTATAACATATAATAACACATAATAACAAATTTATAACATATAATAACACACAATAACACATCTATAACACATCTATAACAACATTACACAACAATAACACGACTATAACACGAATCTAATAAGACTATAACCTCAACTTTTTCTCTAAAATAAACATTGAAGCATATTACCTCAAAGACTTCGAGAGACCACCAGCTTCTTCGTCCGTACCATTGCGACCTTCCATTTTGTGTGCTATAAAGAGAAAGAAAACAAATGACTCATTGTTGCCAAACGACTGAGCACTAAAACTTATAATGAGTATTGCGAAACCGACCTTTCGTTTCCAAGATTCGAAACCGAAGGGCCGAAGAAAAACCGTTGTCCGAATGTAGAAGCACTACCGCCATCCGAATGGAGAACACCCAAAGCAACCGAAGAAACCGAAGGTGGAAGAAGACCGAATGCGTACCGACGACAGAAAGATGAAACACTCCAAAACTGTCGAAGAACAAAAAGATAGTGATCTAATCTAGCATACAATGACTTTTTGTCTGTTTCGGCATGGCATTCCGATGAGCTAAATTCGGGCCGGGTTTCATGAAAAAACAATTTGCTACCAGGTGATTTGGGCCGTTAATTAAGTTATTTTTGAATTTCAATATATAGTGGAGTACCAGTTCAAACTTGGACTCCTCCATAACAGTCCGCCACGGCCGATCCGCTCCTTTCAGGAGCCTCCAAATCCCCGCACTTTATTACTTCTCAGCTGCACTCATCCGCCCCCACCCGCCACTGCCGGCCGTTTATCATGGCGGTCTCCGCCGACCCAGATCACGGCCTCGACACCGTAATCACTGACCCTATTGCCCCAGAGCCACATCGGTACCGTGGCCTCCATTTTCCTGCTTCCGTGAAACAACGCGCATACCGCTTCGACGGCCTCGGAAACTACTTCATCAAGGACTGGGATCTCACCGATGGCGTCGGCGAGGAATTCCATTGGTATCACATCGAGCTTCCCAAAGGAAACAACCATCTCGCCCATGCTGCCCAATACCTAATCGAAGCCCTCTGCCCTCCATTCCGCCTCCATGACATCCTAACCCTCGTCAGCAACGGTCCCTTCGTTGGTCATGTCGATGGTGCGCTCGTCTTTAGAGTCAATTCGCAGGGGCCGGCTGCGAGTGATTTCACCCTCCGGCTCGCTGCGAGAGTGACAGAGAGATCAGTGATCACTGTTTCGTTGGGTAGGGTTCCGAGACTGGAGTTCTCGCCTGCGGGGCGGTCACTTTTGTCCGAGATTCCGAGCATTGAAGAGCAGAAGGCTGGCACCGAATCTGTTGTTATACCAGAGCATGTGCTAGAGTTCTTGTTGACCATGAATCACTCAGAGGAAGGCGATAATCCGGTTCCCAAAATGGTCTCGAATCTTCTCGTTCATATAATTGATACACATGTGGATCATATTCAGGATATTGTGACCAAGTTGGAGATGGAATTGGATACTGTCGAGCTTGATTTGGATAAAGGTAATTGTTTAGTTTAATTCTCGTTGGCGTACTTGATTGGTAAATTTTTGTTTTTGTTGCTCATTTTGTTTTTTTTTTCTATTTTCCGTAAGGGGAATTTACTTACATACCACAATATTCTTATATATATATATATATATATAATATAATATAAATTTTGCTATTTATATTTCATATCCCAATCATATCAAACTATATGCATAAAATGTCTATTTTACTTTAGAAAAACTGATATTAGCTGTATTTTTAATTTGGTTAAAATTTGGGCATTATATAAGTAAATCCTAATTCAAATATTAGATATTTAATTTTATTTTAAAAAATTTCTTATGTGATTTTGTGCTTCTTTTCATTATGAAAGATGCAATTCTTTATCAATTCAAGCACGAGCTTGTTATCAATACACATGGTCTCCTCTTATAGAAGTTGCATTTTTTAAAAATAAATTTCCTTATTAAATTGAAGGAGAAGGGGATGAAATTATATAGATACGTTCAACTTCATAAGTTTAGAGTGTAATAATAAGGGTCCGTTTGGCAGCTTATCCCAATGTTCGGCGTTTTCATAACACCGCGGAGCCGTTTGGTTAGTGCGTTGGGGCTGGAGATCGGGGAACGGGCGTATGGTTTTACGTTATAACATGAATGTTTTACATCCGCTCCCTATACCCCGCGTTCCGCATTCCGCATTTCGCGTTCCGCATTCCGCGTTCCATCGCAACTTATTACTTCTGAGCCCTCGATCCCGTCTTCGTTCAACAAAGTCGCGTCGAAGAGGGGAGGAGGCGACGACTTGGGTAAGGTTTCAAGCCGAGAGGGATCGCGAGAGATGAGGGAAGGGCTCACCGACGCGAGGAGAAGAGGCAGCAACAGGGTGGTCGCCGACGAGTACCGCCGACCGACAGCTTGGAGCGAAATTCCGGAGTCGGCTAGGGTTTTCGCGAACATGAGGGTGGCGGCTGTCTTGCATGCGATAGATAGGGGAGAGAGAGTATGCGATGGTTTTATAAGGATGATAATAATAATATTATTATTAAAATAATAATAATAATAACAATTATTATTCAATTAATCATCAATCCACACATTTTTAGCCTGTACACATCCTCACAGCGAAGTGGATGTCCTTCATGACTAAAATCGACGTTTCAGACTCATTTGTCCAGTCTGTTTCGTCATCCAGGGTCATTCAGACCACTTCTTCAGCGATCAGACTTCTGTTTCGTCTTGTGGCTTATGTTTATCTATTATTTTGCTCATACAGTTCCATTGCAAATATTTTCACTAAACAGAGGTAGAATGACCATTTATCCAACAACAGCTGTCAATAAGCTATTCTGCATAAGCTCCCCCAAACAACAAGACAAATTATCTTGAAAATCTGCTGATTATCAGATTATCACGATAATCTGCTTATCAGCAGATTCTTAATAATCTACAGCTGCCCCAAACAGACCATAAGTTTCTTCTTTGATTTCCGAGTGCACGTTATATCTTTCATGAAATATAGAAACTTGGTGTCTCTTTCATCATCTTATATTTATTAGAAGTTGAGTAAGATAAGTCATAATTGATTATACCTTTGATGTCCGAAGTGTTCTCTTTTGAATAATGAACTTAGAATTTGTAGTAGCTGCCTTGTAGGTTCAAGTGGCTTCTTAGATCTTAATACTAAACTACTTTGCAAAGCTTTTACGGTGTTAATTACTAAATAAACATAGTTTAGATGATTGATTGGCTTGGGTATTAAAAGGCATGCCTCTCACCATCTCTTTCTTCAACCAATGTTGAATACTATGAAAGTTGAGATGTTTATATCGTAGATGTTATAACCATAATGAATTCTTATAGTAAGCTTTTAAATACTTTGCAATATTATATTGAATATTCAATAGTTTTTTCTAAGCTTTAACGTAGCATGTTGGCATTCAAATTATTTTCATCATCTCTTAAGAAATAACCATTTCTTTTCAAATAAATATCATAGTTTTCTCTAGTTGTTAACTCAAGCTGAAAATGTTATCCTTCACATTAGGTCATATTAGGTATACAGTAAACATTTAAAATAATTTGGTCTTCATATTTCTAGCATTTGAGAATTTTATTTTTGCCTCCTATTTGTACTTTTGATGCATCTTTAAATGAGGTATTTATTATTATTGCTTTGTTAACTTCATAAGCTTATTTTTTTTCTTCACACATTGATTGCTTATACTAATGTTGAGATACCATTAATTTATCTAGACTTCATCTTTATCCTTAGATGTTAATAATAATGTTTTATACTCTAAAAATTTGGTTTTTGCCTTTACTCTTTTTGTACGGCTACAGTTGAAAGCATAATGGCTAAGCTTATGAAAATTATAGAATTAGATGTGAGATTTTTCATACCTCAACTGTGAATTTCCTCATTCACTAACGCTTGCTCTATCTCCATTATTGAAGTCAAAATTTTTATTGTATCCATTTCTTCCTCCCATTCTCATCCATTTCTACGTCCTTAGCCGCTTTCTCTTATTTCGTGGTATTCTTCATTGTTTTCAAGTTTAATTATAGTTGCACCTTTTCTTTCTTCTACTTTTTTCTATTTCTTGTAGGCCTACACAGAATTCAATAATTCCTCCACGCTTATAACTTCTAGACTTTTAGTTTCTTCAGTAGTGATAGCAATAAATTCCAATTTGGATTTAATTTATTAAAAATTTCTCTATAACATTTACTTCCCTAATATCTTCACCAGTTCCTTTCAATTAATTGATTAAAAGTATAATCTAAATTGATTTAATTCCTCCATAAATAAAATTTCAAACTCTTCTATAATAGTTTAAAGATTAATCTGTTTTACTTGCTTCATCTCCTTTGTAAGTTTATAGTTTTCTTAATGCTTCTTTAGTTGTAGCTACACCTAAAGTCCTCCAAACCCTTCTTTGTCCACCACAGTTAAAATCCTCTCAAACCGTTCTTTGTCCACCACTTGAAAGTTGAGGTAACTTTTTACTTTCACTCTTTTTTGAATCCTGTAAGACCTCTCTTTGGCTTTTGATATTGCAACATCGTCATACTCTCTATGGTATTTTTGACGAATACTCTCCCGGAATTTTTTTTGACGTCAAATATATCTTGTGCTCTAAATAAAGCTTTCACCTTGATGCTTCAAATTTTTAGTGGCTCTTTTGGTGAGTATTAGAAATCGGGTGTGTGTCATTCCTTCATTCACCATTGTTCTGATATAATTTGTTGGAAATCCAACCAAGGAGGTGGTTCATAATAAGATTAGAAATTTGCAAACATCAAAAGCTTGTGGAAAAGAGGCAATTCATGATTAAGGTTGATAAGTCTCATATCTAATGCTACCACATTCATAAATTTAACCAACGTTGTAAAATTCAAAAGCGAAGAAGGAACATTGTTATTAGCATGTAAGGATAAAGCTAAAGACCAAAAAAGTAGATGGCAAATTTTACTAGTGCAAACACTCACAATTACATACAAGGATGTATGTTTATAGAGTTCGACAAAGTGCAAGAGCAAATGTCTTATTTGGAGATGCATTCAAAATATTGGTAGATGATAAAAGTAAAATTTAATTCATCATAAATGTCTATTTCACATATAAGAAGAAGAATATTTTATGTTTGGGTCAATTAATAGAGAAAATATATACTATTCATTTGAAAGAAAACAATCTTTTCATAAAATATAATAAAGTTAATTAATTGTCATAATGTATTTGTCAATGAATACAGTATTTTTCTTGTATATTTTATATGATGTTGAAAAGTATTTATGAATTCTAGTAATTTATCATAATTATGAAATATATAATATAAATATCTCAACTTTAGCACTCTAACCTTTGTTGGATGAGATAATAAAGGGTCTATCTTCTATCCCCCAATTCAATTATTTATGTGAAAGATGTTTACTTAGGAAGCAATCTTATAAAAGCTTTGCAAATTAGTCAAATTCAAGAGCTACAAAATCCTTAAGCTTATACACTGATTTTTTTAGCTTTGTTATTCTGTGCCTTTTTCTTAGAGTAAATATTTTCTCCTTTTTATTTGAATTTTTTTTGAGAAAAATAGTTTTTATTGCTTAACCTTTTAAAAAGATCAATGTTTCTAGAAAGAGTGGCATTAATATTGAGGTCGTGAGATTTGATCAAAGAGTTGAGTCCACTTCAAACAAATTTGTAAGATATTGTGAAAATCATGGAATTTATCATATCTTAATACTGTGGTAGCGAAAATTTTGAAAAATTTGCAATACGGCAAAATATGATAAAAAATAGGAAAATAACTAAGGTCGTCTTCTTTGGGATTACTTTCTATTTTTTTATTTTTTATTTTTTTAGCTTTTTTTATTTTTGTTTTATTTTCTGTGTTCAGAAAACTCGTTTGGTACTGTTATGATTTATCTGTTTTTAAAAATAAAAAATATAAAAGGTGTTTGGTTTGATTTTTTTTTTTACGAAAAACTTTACATTTTAAAAAATTAAGTGGAGTTATTATTAAAATTTTATAATTATTAAGTTAATTAATTAACTTATTAATTGAAATTAAATACTTAATAAGTTTATAATAATATAATTAATTAATTTAATATTATAGTTATTTGTTAATTAATTTAATTTGAAATTATTAATTGAAATTAAATAATAAATAAGTTTATAGTTATTTTGTTAATTTGTTTATTTATTGGAATTATTAATTAATTAAATTTTATAATGATTAAGTTGATTAGTTAAATTTTATAATTATTAAGTTAATTAATTATTATATTAATATTTTAGTTGTATTATTATGGGTTTAATTGATTAATTATTAAGTTAAGTAAGTGGATTACCATTAAAGATTTATAATACATAAGTTAGTTAATTAAATTATCAATTGAAATTAAAAAATTAATAATTTTATTATTATTAAGTTAATTAAATTAATTATTCCAATTATTAATTGCAATTTTTAATTAAGTTTATTAATTAAAATTAAATAAATAATA